GCCTAGGGATGGATTTTCTTTATTCATTTTCATCTTCCTTGCTTTTAGAATCCACTGTATTGTCATCCACACAGAAGGGACTCAACAAATATTGCTTGATGAGTTGAGTTCATCTCTTCGTTCTCTAAACTCATCAACATGCCACTGCTTTGTCACCGTGTCTAAAATCAGTGCCACTCCGCATCTCCAGCGTCAAGGACCGTAGCAGTGATGCATCAACAGATAATTTCCAATCTCTTCTGGGGCTTTGGGCTGCATCACAGAAATTTTTTTTTTCCAGCAGACTGATTTACCTTCTAATTATATTTTCTTGTGCCAATATTAAAAATAGCTTTCATTTCCTGAACCTATAGGAACTCTTGTGATGAAAGTAGCTTAATCTGGGTGATAAGGAGAGACTGTGCAGGGCTGGGTTTAAATATTGGTGCTATTACTTTCTAGCTGCAAACTCCTGGGTTTATTGCTTAATGTCTGAGTTGTGGTCTCTTAATCAAAATGGGACAACCATACCTATGCCTCAGGGTACCAGTAAGGAATGAGAAACAAGACACATGTGCCTAGCAGTCAGTGATTTTTCTACTTTTCCACCTGGGTTACTAGCTCACTCTCCCTTCCCCCTAGCATGGACTCTCCAAGGGCAGCGCCAGCTTTTGGACAGTTATTTTTTAAAGACTCAAGCAGGGGAGGCAGATTGAGAGTCCCTACTGTGATGGAAGGAGGTCTGGGGAAATAAGTTTGTGTGCCTCTCGCCTTCCCTGTAGTGAGCTTAACAGAGAAGAACCAGGGAAGAGGGGAGGTCAGGTTATGTAGAGCTGGCCTTTGTTTTGGAGCCCACAGGAAATGTCCTTGTACGTTATTCAGACCTGCTCTGGTGTCATGTGGGAACAGCTTTGGGTCATCAAGGCTCAAGGGTGTGCTGCAGTATTTGGAACAGGGGATAATGACCTCAAGTATTCTCTTTACAGAGACCCTAGCTTACTGTGCAAGAGTCAGTGAAGCATGGAAGTGCCTCCATGGAAGCTGCCCTTGCAGTATCTGGAGGGCTGTCTTCCTTCCCCTCTAGAAGTGCTCCACAAGACAGGCTTTGATGCAGGAGATTTTTTTGTTTATGTTCATGCCCTCTTTGTGAACTTGTCTGAGCTTGATTAAGAATCAGCTTCGCGACAGAGGGTGTAGATGGTATCTAGGGACATGATGACAAAAGCCTTCAGTTAATTCTGCTAAGTAATCTACTGGGGACCTTCCAATCATGAAGCACTAGCCACTAAATTGCTAATTAAGTGCCCACTTAACCTTATTAATAATACTAAATGCACAGGGGTCTCCCTGATTCTGCCAGAATGTATGTTAACGGGGCTATAAATAGCAGCTACAGCTGAGTTTTGCTGAATGTTTGCACAGGAGAAAGCATTCAGACAACAACCAAGTGATTCTTTTGACATTTGTATTAGATTGATCATTAGGTTTATTGTGAAAATTAAATTACTGCAAAGCACTGTCCATTAATTCCTGATTAGGCCCAAATGACTGTGCTAGTACAAGCTATGGGTGGGGCATGCTGATTTGGTTTCTAATGCAGGCCTTGGGGTGGTCCTGCTCAGAAGCCAGGAAAGGGACAGGTGCTACCAACAGAGGACTGGGCCTTAGGTAACGGTAGACTGCAGAACGAGCTATCGGTATTGATGCTACACTCTTTGCAGCAAAATTGGACAAGACATAGGCTTCTTTGCTTAGTAAGCTTTTCAGGGGCTAGTGGGTGATTTAATGATACAGTTACATCTTTTCCATAAACGTTCATTTGGAAAAAAATAGGAAGTATAAGGTAGTGATGAAGAAACAAAGCTTAACTCTCTGGGTTGGGATCTTTTCTTTGCCAGTGTGGTGGTTTGAATAGGTCTGGCCAACATAAAATCATGTGTTGGAATGCTTGGGCCACTATTGAAAGCTTGGTGTCACTATTAGGAAGTGTGGTCTTTTTGGAGGAAAGATGTCACTGTAGGGGTGAGCTTTGAGGTTTCTATGCTCATGCTTTTCCCAGTGTAGAGTGAAAACCTCCTCCTGGCTGCCTTTGGATCAAGATGTAGAACTCTAGGCTTCTTCTCCAGCACCATGTCTGCCTGCGTGCTGCCATGCTTCCCAGCATGATGATAATGAACTAAACCTCTGAAATTATAAGACAGCCCCAATGAAAAACATTTTTTCTTTATAAGAGTTGACTTGGTCATGGTGTCTCTTCAAAACAATAAAACTCTAACTAAACCCATGGCAGCTCAGTATCAAAGTGGGTTCTCTAGTAAGAGGAACAGGGACTGTCTCTGACATGATCTCAATGGCTGGCTCTTTGAGCTCCCTCCATTCCCCAAGGGAGAAACAGCCTTGCTAGGACACAGAGGAAGACATTGCAGCCAGTCCTGAAGAGACCTGATAAGCTAGGGTCATATGAAAGGGGAGGAGGACCTTCCCTATCAGTGGACTTAGAGAGGGGCGGGGAGGAGATGAGGGAGGGAGGGTCAGATTAGGAGGGAATGAGGGAAGGGGCTAGAGCTGGGATACAAAGCAAATAAACTGTAACTAATATTAAAAAATTAAAAATTTAATTAAAAAAAAACCCTAAGACAGACAAGTAATGGCTGTGTCGGCTGAGGTTGTTAATTTGCCTCCTTGTGCTTCAGTTTCCTCACTCAGTAAAGGGAAAATGACACTTAAGTACTGCCCAGTTTTATATCAACTTGGCACAAGCTAGAGTCATCAGGGAGAGAGGAACCTCAACTGAGAAAGTTCTCCCATTAGATAGGGCTGTAGGCAAGCCTGTGGGTCATTTTCTTAACTAGTGATTGATGGGGGAAAGTTCTGCCCATTGTGGGTGGTGCCATGCCTGAACTGCTAGTTCTGAGTTCTATGGGAACGTAGGCTGAGCAAGCCATAAAGAATGAGACAGTGAGCATCATCCCTCTGTGGTTTCTGCAGCAGATACTGACTCTAGGTTCCTGCTTTGCTTGAGTTCCTGTCCTGACTTCCTTCAATAATGAACAATGAGTTAGGGTCAGGATTAGGGTTAGAGTCTAATAATAGTCTCTATTATGCTGTTTTAGACAACCAGAGGATTCACAAGTTAAGGAAGAGTCTGTGGCTAGGTAGCAAAGGAGCCTTACTTCTCATAGTTTGAGAATTCAGTGCTCGCCTCTCATGTAGAGAGGAGATTATACATAAAACCTCTTTAATCTCCCATCCCTCTCATCATCCACAGAAAGTCAATTAAATATAAAGCATCATTTATACTAGCTTGAAAGTGAAGGATTTTGCAATGTTCATAAACCACACACAAGTACTTAGACATGGATTATTAAGCAGAAAGAACTAATGGAGTCTTTGTTACTTGGTTCCATTTGGTATTTAAAATGCTCTTTAGCAAATCCTTGATACAGTTAGGATATTTTCAGAGCATCTGGGAGCCATGATGAGACCTGGCCTTCCTTTTCGGCCTTGGCTTATACTCCTTCTTTACCATCTCTTTCTTTTTCATTCCAGTTGACAGAAATACAAAGTATTCACAATTTTTCTTCACTTTTAGTATTCGCTCCTGGTGCCTTCTGGGTCTAGATAACATTTACACATATTTTCACTGCACACAGGGAAACCACAGCAGACCAAAGAAATGGTTTTAACAAAGTCCAACCTAGTGAACCAATATGATTTTGTTTTTTTAATTGGAGTTACATACGGGCTTATATGTGAAGGAGTCTTTATAAGACTAGACACAGCTCAAATGGAGCTGCACCCCTAGAAAGTCCACTCCAACACTGGTGATGACCCAGGAGAGCTGCATTCCTGGAACTCATTGCAGGAGCTGGAAGTAGCTCTAGAGGTCTTGGAATCTCCTCTCTGCACTCCACTCTCCCCACAATTGTTTCCTGTCCCTATAGCCTTGAGGAGGAGCCTTTGCGAATAGTGTTCACTTCAGCATACCTAAAAGTGCGATGTTGGTTTAATTCCAGAATTTCATGAGCTTCCCTCCTGGAGGGAATATTTCAGTTCAGAGAGAATTAATTTGATATTCAACAATTGCCTTTCTGTATGTCTCACTTCCGGTGGTCTGTCACAGGAAGTTATGTGCTCCCATTTTGGGTTTGTTGCCTCTGTGGTGGACTCACTCTACCTGGTATGTACCTTTTGTAACAGCCCTGGTCATGTCTATAATCCTTCCTGTCCCTTTTTTCCCCCATTCTCATCTGCCACTCTCAGCATCCGTTGTCTACACTTAACAACATAGTTGGATTTATCCTGCAGAGAGTTCAAGAACATTTTAATTCAGCCAAAGATGAAGAGATACGATAATGTTCAAAGATAGAAAAGATACCTTGGGTTAACTTCTGCTGTAGCAATTGATGAATAAACACTTTAATTATGTCCACTTAATGTCATGTATTTAAATTGCATCAAATTGCAAAGGTAACATTGGCAGTGTAGTGGTAAACACTGATGCCTTTCAAATTGCAGAAGTGGAATTCTTAACAGGGATATGATATTACGAATTGGAAATTCATATTTTAATCCATTAGATTCTCTAGTTGGTGCCTAGGTGATCATTTGATTTTAATGATCTAAAATTTCAATCAGTGTTACTGATAAATAATTGACATATGAAAAGATGAACACTTTTAATATACACCTTGATGTATTTTTGAAAAGTTTGTATACTTCTGAGTCATTACCATTACGGCAATTTACATATGTAGACTATTTGACACTTTTAGTTAAGTGCATTTAAAACATTACAAATTAAATATAATTTAAACATAAATAACATCCACCAATGGAAAAGCTGGATTGGATAATTTGCCCCAATATTTTGGAACTTAATGTAGTATTAGTTTTCTTTTTAGTGGTTAACGACGGGTGCCTGGCTAAAGGGGCTAATAGCCAAAGGATGCATAATATTCTGTTGGGCCGCACATAGTGCCATGACTTCGGATTTGGGTGTGGGGGCTGTGCCCACCCACCTGCAGTTGGCACTGTCGCACCAGCTCCTGGTAGTTTGGAGACCCGGGGAGCTCCGCCTTAATCCTGTGGTTTGGCAGAGAGATGCTGAACTCCACCTTCTCCTCTGATGAAAATTCAGACACACGAGTAGGTTCTGATTTGTTTTCCTGGATTAAAAACAACAGCAACAGAAGGGCCTCTATTAATGTAAAACAATACACAGTCAACTATATTATGCAAGACGTGTTGCCATTGTGTCAAGAAATGGACTGTGAAGGTCCGAGTGGTTTTGGAGTAGAAGTCTTGTAATTAGGAGTTGCCTGTGAGTTTTAGTAAGAGTTAAAATACTGGAGCTCTATTGGGCTGGTTATTTCTTTACTTCTTTGAGTCAGGGCCTCACTCTATAGCCCGGGCTGGTCTTTAATTTCAGCAGCCTTCAAGCTGTCTTTACTTATTTTATTTTGAGGCAGAATCTCACTGTTGCCCAAGCTATTCTCAAGCTTGCTATATAATTAAGGCCGGCCTTGAACTCTTGGTCCTGCCTCTCCCTTCAAGCACTGGAGTTACAAGCATACACCTCCCTATCCACCTCAAACATATTTTAAAATAACGAATAGTAATTGTCTATACTTATAGGATACAATGTGATGTTTTGATATATGTTTATAATCTGGGCAGATTGTGTCAGGTTTATTAATGTATCCAGCACCTCAAATTCAAAAACATCTTTGTGTGTGTGTATATGTATGTGTGTGAGTGAAATCTATTTTCCTAGCAACCTGTGAGTATATCCATTTTAGTCAACATTCTGTGTAACAGGCCACTAAAGATGATTCCTTAGATATGACTGGAATCTGTGCCCTTTGGTTCAGTGTTCAAATTCTCTCCTCCTCTGGACTCTGGGGGGATTGTTCTACTTATAGTTCACATATGAAAAATAGATTTTTAAATGGCTCTCACTAAGTACCTTCAGAGACTTCCTATTACTTGTAGTTAGAAACCTAGACTTTTTTTCTGTATATTTAATATTCTTTATAGTCTTATTCCAATCTACTTGAATAATTTTATTTCCACTCTGCAGCCATGACTGCTATATTAATCAAAGGTTACATTGTTCTGCTTTTCTCCTGGAGAGTCTACTTAAAATGCTCTCCCCCCTTCAGCAATAACACCCCGTCTTCCTCTCCTTTAATTCTCCCTTCCTCATATGCATTCTATCTTTTGTCTGAAATACTCTTTTAAAATTTATTTATTTATTTATTTTGATTATTACAATATATTCACTTTGTATCTCAGCTGTAGGCCCATCCCTCGTCCCTCCCAATTCTCCCATGCCCCTGTCCAAGTCCACTGACAGGGGAGGTCCTCCTCCCCTTCTATCTGACCCTACCCTATCAGGTCTCATCAGGACTGGCTGCATTGTCTTCCTCTGTGGCCTGGTAATTGTGCTCTCCTCTCACAGGGAGGTGATTAAAGAGCCAGCCACTGAGTTCATGTCAGAGACAGCTCCTTTTCCTCTTACTAGGGAACCCACTTGGAGGCTGAGCAAAGGGTCTAGGTTATCTCCATGCATGGTCCTTGGTTGGACTATCAGTCTCAGAAAAGACCCCTGTGCCCAGATTTTTTGGTTCTGTTGCTCTCCTTGTGGAAGTGCCTGTCCCCTCCAGATCTTTCTATCTCCCCCTTCTTTCTTAAGATTCTCTGCACTCTGCCCAAAGTTTGGTTATCAGTCTCAGCATCTGCTTTGATACCTTCCTGGATAGTCTTTCAGAGGCCTTCTGTGGTAGGTTCCTGTACTGTTCCCTGTTTTCTCCTGCTTCCGATGTCTATCCCATTTGCTTTCTGAGTGAGGATAGATCATCTTACCCAGGGTCCTCCTTCTTGTTTAGTTTCTTTAGGTGTACAGATCTTAGTATGTTTATCCTATATTATATGTCTAATATCCACTTATAAGTGAGTATATACCATGTGTGTCTTTCTGCTTCTGGGATACCTCACTCACCATGATCTTTTCTGATCATTTGCTGACATGCTGTCTTTTGCTTGTACTCCTGAAGCACTCTTTCCTTTTCTGTAGTATAGACATTTTACCTCTGCTTCCTCTGAACTCCAGTGCCACTGACTGGACTTTTAACCTCTTGTTTGGTACCTACTTTTGCACTTGCTCATTGTCCTCTCTCTCTCTCTCTCTCTGCAAGTCTTGTTGGTCCACACAATTCTCTACTGTACAAAATCCCCAAAAGTAAAACCAAGGGGCTATTTATATATAAAACTCACTGGGTATCCAAGTCTAAAGAGTGTACTCCCTACAACCTGTCCCGGCTTATCATTTTGTCCCAGTAATTTATCCTGCCATCTTTAATCATAGCACACAAGATATTTTGTTATATACAATTGCACATATATGTCCCTTGTTGCAAGAACAATCTTGGTTTTCTTTGGATATTTGTTGTACATCTCTAGTCTTGGCACATCAGTGGATTTCAGTAAAATATTTGCTGACTAAAAGAATGGGTCATAGATACAAACAATAAAGGATGTTCCTCAGGGGATATGGCTGATGTCAGATGAAGTATTTGGGGATAATTACACAGATGGAGGTATCTACACTAGATATTGAAGCATGTGGGACACAGACAATGTGAAGAAAGAGAGAAGAAAGACTCGTCATCCTACAAATTTTATGTTAAATTCTGAATTATGAAATACTTTTTTCCCAGTAGCACTTTGCCTGTTGGTGAGGCAGAATTTTCCCACAAAAACATGTTATTTTTTCTTCTTTGTTCACAACAATAGTTCAGCTGTACCTGTTGCCATCTTGCCTGAAGGGCACACCAAGTGGCCAGCAGGCTGCTCATCAGGATTTCTCATGCAGAGCTGGTCAAATGATTTTTGTTCCCCTTCACCCTGCCCTATGCCTTGGAGGGAAGTTCAAAGGATGTGAAGAGAGAGGAAAAAAAAGAGCATCTCATTCTAGAGTAGGTGTGGCTGTAGCAGTGGAAGGATGGAAAGTTCTGACTTGTCGTTCTTTGGGTTGCCAACGCCACCACTTCTCATGAGTAATGAGGTCAGCGTTTCTCTGCTTCAGCACTGCATGGATTTAGGTTTTGGGAAGGCTAAAAACTTCCTGTTTCGGTATTCTAACTCTAACTCTCGCAGCTGCACCAGTCTACATGGTGGCTAGCGTGCCTCTGAGCTGTAGATCACTGTTTCTGTTTTCCGCTTGCTCACCGTGAAGGATTTTGAAACATAATTGGTATACTTACGCTGCACATACAGAAACTAATACTTGACTCTTGCTGTCAACAAGGCTTATGTTTTAGTATAGAGTGAGTGAATTCATTGTGATTGATTGATTTTAATGCTTGAGGAGCACCTGTTACTCACAAGTAACAGGTATGGGGAGAAGAGTTTCTGCATGCTTTTTGTAATTTTCCCTATCTTACCCTAGTTCTCAACCTATTATTTTCTTGGTCCTTACAATGACTTAAGAATAGTGAAGAGAATAAGGTCACGGAGATAGTCTGAGGGATGGGATGAAAACACAGTACTGAAAATGGTGAGTATCTGATCCATTCACCCCTTTGCCTATTTTGCTGAAGAAAACAAGCCAAGGCTAGAGATATGACTAAACTTGTAATTGCAGAATCCAAGGAAAAGCCAAAGGTGCGTGGCAGCTTGCCTATAATCCTAGCACAGATGTTCCACATACATGTGAACATGCATACACATATGTATGCACACCACATACACAGAGATATGAGGAAAAAGAAAACATAAAAGACCAAAAATGTGCATGAAAAACTGTACCAACTCAGATCTTCTTACCATTGTGGGCTTCTGGATATCTTTGAGGGTGTCACTGAGAATCTCATTGAGCTGTGTATCATCAGGAGGGAGTGGGAAGGGCCCCAGTGACATGCTGGAAACATCTGTAGAAATTAGAAAGATTTCAGGCACAAAAATAAGACTAGAAGAATTTAAACTAGAGCAAGGTCAAGATTCTATAATTCCTTATGTCTTTTCTGTCACTATAGAATTTACAGATAAATGCATTATAAATTTGTTTTTCAAAGTTCTTATATGTATGGTTTTTTGTTTTTTTTTTTTAAATTGAAGTCACACTTCCAATATTTCCATGAAGTTGTTCCTTTTGGGACCGAAATTTGGGGTTGTCCTACATGTGGTACAGTTAAATGATTTGTATAATGAGAACTGATTAATGTTTCTTTTTGTGACTATGCAAAGGAGAAAAGACAAGTATTTATATTGAATTTGTTCTTCTGAAAACTATCTTAGAATGTTGCTCAAGTCTTGAAAGTCTAGATTGTTTTAACAATCAGTAAATTTTTTTAATTTATTTTTTAATATTAGTTACAGTGTGTTAACTTTGTATCCCTGCTGTATCCCGCTCCCTCTTTCCCTCCCAGTCCCACCCTCCCACCCTCATCTCCTCCCTGCCCCTTTCCAAGTCCACTGAAGAAGTGCTTTTAACCACTGAGCCATCTCTCCAGCCCCTCAAGACGCCCTTTAAAACACTCTTTACAGACCACCAAAAACCATTTCAGATACCTGGAGAACACTTAGAAACATATAATGATACCAACAAAGGGGCTTCTGTGTTCTATTCAAGGCATAAATCATTTTAATTATGTATATTACTATTTTATCATAAGTTATGTTTTTTAGAAATGTTCATGGAATACAGTGTTGTGATTAGTTTATACTTAGTAAGAAATTGCTGTCCTTTTTATTTAATTAGACAAAACAAATTTTTTTTGGTTTAGTTTTAAGCCTTAAGAAACAGGACATATCAATTAAAAAATTGTTCTTTCCCCATTCCCCAAGTCTCTTTAACTGTTTTTTTTTAGCTATATGAGGTTCTGTGATGTCACTGCACTGAGTGTGGAACTCTGACTTTTAGTGGGACCATTTGAGTTAGCTGAAGAAATCATTTAAACATGTTTATATATATTTTAGTTTCTTTTTATTATTTCATGAGTATTTTTTTTTTTTTGCCAGTATGTACACCTGTGCACCTAGTGTGTGACTGGCACTGCAGAGGTCAGAAGAGGTTACGGGATCCCCTGGGACTGGAGTTAGAGATGGTTGTGGGCTGTAGTGCTGAGAATCAAACCTAGGTCTACTGCAACAGCAACAAATGCTCTTTGCCACTCCCCAGCCCAAACAGACTTATATATTTTCAATGGGCACATAACATTATACATGCTTATGGGATATCAAACATGCGCATTATGTAAATGTCTAAACTGGAGTCACTGCATCTATTTCTTTAAACATTTAACATTTCTTTCTGAAAATAAAAATCATTTTTTTTCTTTTTAAATACACAGTAAATTATGATCACTTATAGAGTCACTTCACTGTGTGATAAATATTGGATAAAATAGTACACGCCATTTGGTCGATGAGAATCTGGAAGGATGGTGTCTCTGGCACCCTCCTTGACAGCTGTAGCTGAACAGTCTGTTGCAAGCACTCAAGATGAAGACAGTCTCCATCCTGAGGGAAAAATTCAAATGAGCCAAACTATATAATTTTATGACCAATTGTTTTTTTTTTTTTTTACCATATTTTTATAACAATGAAAATAGCTTAGGAGGTATACTAGAGGAAATTTTTCTTTTGTTTGAATGTCCTATTTTGTTGTCCTTAAAAGAAAAATTATTGGGACCGATGAAACTAAGACCAGCCATCAGGTGGTATGAGCTAATCTCTTAATACATTTAGCCTTCTTTGAAGATTGCCTTCACTCTCTGCACACCTAAGGTGTCTAGTAATCTGGATGGGCAGCTCTTGTCTTTCAGAGCTTGGAACGCACCACTCCGCACCCTTCTTGTTTTTAGAGTTTCTGTTGCTTTCCTTAGTTTGCATTTTTTGTGTAACTTGTTGTCCCTCTGTTGCAGCTTTCTTCTGCATACTTAGCGTTTAAACTCTACTGTTGAAAGAAGGAGGTTCTTTTCTGGTCTTGTCTCTTTGTCATTCTAATGCCTCCTGTATCCGGATGGCCACTTCTTTCCCTGGGTTTGGGAAATTATCTGCTATAATCTAATTGGCTCTATTTTCTGTGCATTTATACATATACATACACATCCCCCCCTCTCCCCTCTTTCTTCTGTGTTCATGGTTTATAAATTTCAGCCTTTAGTGGTGTCTCATAGTTCTCACATGCTCTGTTTGTATCATTTCATATGATATCTGTCATTGTCTGAGTGTCATTGTCTGAGTGTTACAATTCATAATAATGCCTTCAAGCCTCCCACTTTATCAATCTATTGGTGAGACTGTCTGCTGAATTTTTACTTGACCTACTGAAATTTTCATTTTCATAGTTTCAATTTAATTGTTAGTTTTTCTATTTCATTAGAGAATCACCCATTCTTATAGCCATTCTTTTAGATTCTTTGGCTGGGTTTCATTTCATTTACTCTTATTAGAATATATTACCATGGAATCAGTAATTTCTGGAAGAGGCACAGTGCCTTTATTTATTTTTAATTTTTATGTTTCATAAGTTTCTGTGATGGTACATGTGTATCTGGCCTTAGGTCATTGACTGGATTTTTTTAATCAATAGTCTTCAGTTAAAGACCTTAGAGTGTTTAATTGAGATTAAGTTATTGTAGGGTTGAGGTATCAGTCAGTCTCCATTGAACTGTGCGTAGCTCAATAGCTAAACCTCAGCCATTGTGCTCGACTCACTGTAAACAAAGTGAGTGTAGAGTTCTATCTACAGAAGCAAAGCAACCTAACGAATAGACCCACTGTCAAAAATGGCTCTTTTGTTGTCCTCTATTTTTTTTTTTTTTCAGTAATGAAGTGGCTGTCAGTGCGGATATGATGAAGACTGGAGTGCCAGCAAAGCCCCTCTGGTTGCCAAAGTAGTCTGAATACTGCTGGCATTCTCCTGCAAATCGCAGAACCTCTTCCAAGCCTTAAAATTTAGTTTAAATTTAGCCTTTATTGTAAAATATTTAATTTTGTTTTGAAGGTTCTTTTAAAGACAGAAAAACAGCCAGGCACAGTAGTACATCCTTGTAATCCCATCACCCAGGGAGGCAAAGGCAGGTGGATCTCTGTGAGTTCGAGGCCAGCCTCATCTACAAAGTGATTCTAGGACAGCCAAAGCTGCACAGACAAACCCTGTCTCAAAAAAGCAAGCAAGTAACCAACCAACCACCAAAAACTCCCAAGAAAAAACAAATTTTAAGGCTATTAATTTGATTGTTTTTCATGGTATAAAAGAAAGTAGCAGGAAATATCTTTTTTTTTTTTAATGAACTATCTTTTAAACAAACACTTCCTGTGAAATCAGTCTTGATATTAAGAACCACAGGTCAAACTTCACCCGTATAAAAGGGGAAATAACCAGTTGATTCTGTTTTCTTGTTTATGTTTTCATTTTTTTTTGTTTTTGTTAAAGAATTTTCACTACATTTTGTAATTGAAATTGAGCTAGTCTTATTACATTATCTAGAAATAAGTCTAGAAGTGGTAAATTATTTTAACTTAGAAGAAATATAAAAATGAAGTCACAGAGTTTTTCTGAAGTTAGTGAATAAATATGTGAATTTTATTCTCATTGTCTAAAAGTCTCTATTTTTTAGTGTATGAATTTAAAGAAGCATTTTCCTTCCATTTAAAAAACTGAGCTTCACAAGGAGAGGAACAGAACCAAAAAAACTGGGCACAGGAGTCTTTTCTGAGGCTGATACTCCAAAAAAGGACCATGCATGGAGATAACTTAGAACCCCTGCACAGAAGTAGCCCATGGCAGCTCAGTGTCTATGAGGATTCCCCAACAATAGGAACAGGGACTGTCTCTGATATGAACTCAGTGGCTGGCTCTTTGATCACCTCCCCTTATCAGACCACAGAGGAAGACAAAGAAGCCAGTCCTGATGAGACTTGATAGACTAGGGTCAGATGGAAGGGGAGGAGGACCTACCCTATCATTGGCCTGTGGGAAAGGCATCGGAGAAGAAGAGGGAGGGAGGAAAAGAGGGATTAGGAGGAGATAGGGGAGGGGGCTACAGCTGGGATACAAAGTGAATAAACTGCAATTAATAAAAATAAAAAAATAAAAAAAACTGAGACAGGATCTTATATATGAAATACTTTATGGCTTCAAACTTACCATGTTGCCAAGACGATATTGAACTTATGGTTTCTCCTGACCCCAGTTTTTGAGTGTTGGGCTTACAGGCATAGACCACCATATCCAGTATAAGTGAGTTGGGAACCTGGAGACTGATCCATCTAGGCAGTCTACTGAGCTCCATCCCCCAGCTCCAAAATTTGCTTTCTCAAAAACATTATTAACATTGCTACTAAAATCAATTAAAATGAGGAAAAATGCCTAGAAGTTTAATAGTTCTATATACTCGAAAGTATAAGTAAAATGAGACTATTTGAGAGCATTTGATGCTCTTGTAGAGGACCTGAGTTTGGTTCCCAGCCCTCACATGGTGGCTCACAACCATCTATAACTCCATCCCCAGGTGATCTAACACCTTATTTTAGTCAGTGCCACACACGTACATATATGCTGGCAAAACTTTTTAAAAGTGTATATGTGATATTTATGTTATGTTGAATACACTGTATTGGTATGTAATTCAGTCTAATCTTGAATTGACTATATAGTCCAGGTTGGCCTCAAACTCATGATGTTTTTGGCCTCAATTTCCTGAATACTGAGATTATAGGCACGTGCCATCCGTCATACTCACTAAAAGTAGTGCTAAATTATAAGGAAAATGGTAAGACTGCCATAGTAAAATCCATGAAAAGTAAAATTTAAACATCTAATAAACATAAAATTATTACTATTATTTGGTAAATACCAAAATTTTATATTCAGGGCAGGTGACTCTGCAACTAAAGGTACTTGTTATACAAGCCCAATGACCTGAGTGTGATCCCTGGAACCCATGTGAAAGTAGAGGAGTGAACCCACTCCAGAAAGTTATCTTCTGACCACCACGTGTGCGTGCCTACACTCCTCTGTACTCCTCACGCGCATGTACACACTAACACAATAAAAAAGTGTGAAAACTTAAGGTTAAGATTGTATGTTAAGTACTCCCAAATGTGTGATGAGACAGGTGCTTGCCAGTTTAATCCGTCATTTATTATTTAAACTGTAATAAAATTTCTGGAAAATCTTTGGCCAAATCCACGAAAATAGAAGCTTAGTATTATTTTGTCTGTAGTGCATGGACTGAACCCAGGACATCCAACTAGGCAAGCACTCTCCACTGAGCTATCTCAGAAATCAGCAGTCAGTTTAGCAATGGCAACTGAGAAATTAGTGATTTGAAAGTTATTTGTGCTTAAATGCATTGATCAAACAGTATTTGTTATGTACCTAGACATTCAACAACAAAACCCAAAGCTCTAGAAGTGAGAGGACGCATCATAAGTTATACCACCTTTCATCAAGGAGCGCTTTACAAATACCTTTTGCATGAAGGTCTGAATTGACTTTTGGAAGTAGACGAGATGTGATCTAAGCTTACCTGTGGGTAATGCAGGGGTTTTGGTGGTCTCTGCCAGTGTCTCCCTCGGAGCTATTTCATCTTTTCTGTTAGCACACAAAGAAGGAAAGAAGTGGTGTTTTAGGGAAACTTGAAGATACGGAGCCCACATTTGAGTGTGCCTTACTATATAGATGAAACAGTAGAGAACAATCATATTTCCATCCAGATTTATCTGTTTTTATTAACTGAACTGATATTTGAATCTATCTGTCTGTCTGTCTGTCTGTCTATATATCTCACTGAGGAAAATTTCAAATAACCTCTTTGATGGTTATACCTGGCTCTCCGTGTCTTCCTCTCAGCCTCTGGGCTTTGTGTGGTTTTAAGGGGGAATTTATACAGTAGGCAAAATTGAACTCCAGGTGTGTCCTAATGTTGTACTGTCCCATTGCACATTCAGTGTTCTTGCCATAAAAGTAGTAGATGACATAATTGAATACTGTAATATTTCCTTACAAACCTCAGATTTCTTATCCAACAAAGAACTGTTGTAGTTAAAGGAATGGAAGGGAACTAGTTTCTGGATAGTACAGGTTTATTAAATCTGTATTCTTTGCACAACAATAGCACGTAATGAGAACCAGCCAGGAGGTCGGGGTTAAGACTTCAGATTAATAAATGGCAATATGGGAGATATTCTAGGGTCAGACCAAAGGTCATGGCGGCAGAGTTGTCTGCATGTACAGTATCAGTCCATTACTAATAGGAAACAGGGAAAAGGGACTGTGCTAGTGATAGCTTTTGAATCTCACTAAAAGATTTGTTTCTCTAATCTTTGAAGTCCCAACTGAAAGCACCATTTCTAGCCTGATATATAATTTTCTGTGTTTCATGATGACAGATGATGTGAAGAAATAACTGGCATTCCATTCTTACAGAGCCTTCTAGACTGGACAGAGCCAACACTACCACCTGCATATCTCTGTCATGGCAACGCTTTCCAAGATATGAGGAAGAGTAATGTTTAAAACATTATCAGCCTTTTCTAGCTTCTCTTTCTTTCATAACATTCCCTGCACTCTGCCCAAAGTTTGGCTATGAGTCTCAGCATCTACTTCGGTACCCTGCTGGGTGGAGTCTTTTAGAGGCCCTTTGTGGTAGGATTCTGTCCTGTCCCTGTTTTCTTCCTCTTCTGATGTCTATCCCGTTTGCCTTTCTGAATGAGGATTGATCATCTTATTCAGGGTCCTCCTTCTTGCTTAGCTTCTTTAGGTGTACAGATTTTAGTGTGTTTATCCTATCTTATATGTTTAATATACACTTATAGTTATATAAGTAAATATACCATGTATGTCTTTTTGATTCTGGAATACCTCATTCAGGATGATCTTTTCTGGATCCCACCATTTGCCTCTATATTTCAAGATTTCCTTGTTTTTAAATGTTGAGTAGTATTCCATTGTACAACAATTTCTGTATCCATTCCTCAGTTGCAGGGACATCTGGGTTGTTTCCAGATTATGGTAATTACAAATCAAGCTTCTATGAACATGGTTGAGCAAATGTCCTTGTTGTATACTTGAGCATCATATGGATATATGCCTAGGAGTGGTATAGCTGGATCTTGAGGTAGCACTATTTCTAATTTTCTGAGAAAGTGCCTGGGGGGGGGCAAGAGTGCCACAAGGAGAGCAACAGAACAACAACAACAACAAAATCTGGGCCCAGGGGTCTTTTCTTAGATTGATAAAACAACCAAGGACCATGCTTGGAGATAACCTAGAATCCCTGCACAGATGTAGCCTATGGTAGCTCAGTCTCCAAGTGATTCCCCAGTAAGGGGGACAGGGGCTGTCTCTGACATGAACTCAGTGGCTGGCTCTTTGATCACCTCCCCCTGAGTGGGGAGCAGCCTTAACAGGCCACAGAGGAAGACAATGCAGCCAGTCCTGATGAGACCTGATAGGCTAAGGTCAGATGGAAGGGAAGTAGGACCTCCCCTATCAGTGGACTTGGGGAGGGGCATGGGAGGAGAAGAGGGAGGGAGAATGGGATTGTGAGGGGATGAGGGAGTAGGTTACAGCTGGGGCACAAAGTGAATAAATTGGAATTAAAAAAAAAATAAAATGCTGGGGAAAAAGACTCCAACCAGCAGGGGATTAAAGCAGAAAAATAAATATTATCAGTTTGCTGTCATACACTGTGACCAATAACAATGGATGTTTATGCCTGGGAGATGGGTCAATAGGTAAAGTGCTTGCTGTGCATGCATGAAGACCTGAACTTGGGCCCCAGAATCCATGTAAAATGTGGGCAAAGAGATATGGGTCTATTATCCCAGCACTGGGTGTTGGAGACAGTTGAATCTAGCAGGTTCACTAGCCAGGCAACCTAACTGAAACACAGAACTCTATTTTTAGTAAATAGACTATGTTTCAAAAGTAAAGTGAGTAGTGCTTGTGGAAGACAATGACATTGACCTCTAACCTCCACTTGCATAGCACAGGTGAACACACCTGTACACGTGTGCACACACATTCAGACATCACACACACACACACACACACACACACACACACACACACACAGTCCACACACACAAAACAATGGATGTCTGTTGTATATTCTGAGGAACACCAGTGGCAGGGAGAGCAGATGTGACATGGTAATGATCAAAATACATTATATAAATGTATGAAGATGAAACTTTTCAATATGATTAATAGATGCTAATAAGAAATGGTGTAAATCTGTAGAATTTACATTTGTAGAAATGGATAGCTGTATTGGCAGGTATAGGACAATATAAACTTAAATCCTACTGGAATTCGAAACCAGCCATTCTTCTTATTTTTCTGGCAGTATGCTATGTGCTTAATGATAGTTGTTATGGAGATATTTAAATGTCAAACATGGGTGGCATTTATGACTTAGACAAATTTTCTTTCCTTCTAATCTTCAGACCTTTGTTTATGCTCAGGTCTTTCTCCCAGGCTACTCAGCTCTCCTTGTCCCACGTTGCTGTGAAAAAGAAACTAAAGCAAGAGGAGGAGCGCTCTGACCACAGTGGTCCCAGCTTAGTTACAGGTTGGCATCCTGGCATGTGCTGCGCTCTTGGCTGCTATCTTTTCCCTCCATCATCAAGTGTGATCCTTCCTTTAAGCTGGCAATTTGTACTATCCCCGTGCCCGAAGTTCCAGCTGGAAGTCTGGGGTACTTGGATCTTGTCCTGGCTTTTATTTAAAATCCATTTGAAATTGGAACAATTATTGACTAGTCAGGGGGGTGAAATTTCATTTTTCTTCTTGGAAAGATTTTATGTGAAAGAGAAGTTTTCCACTTCCTTAACCAGGTGTCAGAAGTTAGCGAATGTAAGCATTTTCCTCCCCTTTCACAGTGCTGTGGGGGCACAATGCTATCTTTTGTGTGGGTAGCCAGAGAATATCTCTGTGTCTTGTGAACAAAGTAAGAGGTGTGGGCCTAAGCCTTTCCCAGGCCATGCAGTCCATTCCTGCCAATGCTTGTTGAAGTGAGTGAGCACTCACACTTGAATGAGAAGGCTGGAAACAGCACTGCCATCATGCATAGAGTATCACATGCTGCTGAGGAGTTTGGACTTTCACAGGAGAGCAGGAAAAGGAAGAAAATGCTCAGCAAGAGGGCAGTTGCTGAACTAAGCCCAGAGTTCTAGAGAGGCTTCAGCCTTAAATGGCCTGTGAGGATACTGTGGGGAGCTGGATTCCTCCTGGAGTGTCACTAGGGGGGAGGGGCAGGGAGCTTTGAGGTTTCAAAGAGCCCAGTCTATTCCTCCAACAAGGACACCCCTCCTAATCCTTCCCAAGCAGTTCTGTGAACTGTGCACCAAGCATTCAGATATATGGGCCTATGGAGGCCATGCTTATTCAGACCCCCACACCGTATGTGGCTGGCAGTGGTGGGGTATACAGAAGCCCAAAGAGAAGACTGTGGAAGTTGCTGCTGGACAGGCCAGAGCTGAACATGAAGGTGATGGTTTCAGAGACTTTGTAAGTGTGTGTGTGTGTGTGTGTGTGTGTGTGTGTGTGTGTGTGTGTGTGTATGAAGCAGGGGTGTTGGGATTTAAAAACCCCATTCTGCTCTCTTCACTGGCTGGTCCTACCCAGAAGCCAGAGGCCAAGAGATGCCATGGAGGCAGTTCTTAACATGCAGCTTCCTGTGCAGAGTTGGGTTGGGGAGACAAGCAGTGGGATGTTCAGAAGACACTGGGGGACAATGAGGGAGTATTTTGAGTGGAAACAAACAGGACTCAACATATTAAAGGGATATTCCAGATATATTAATCTAGGAATAGTATACTAAAGAGAAAAAGAAATTAGAAGCCAGGATATTTATTGGGGGGAGATCAGATCTGAGATCTCCCCTGCCTAGAGTAAACTAACCGAGGAGTGGTACAGGCTGGTGGCAACGAGGCAAATGGGAAAGCAGCAAATGTGAAAGGCATTATAAAGTATTTCCTGTAACTCACATCTGTGTGTGTGTGTGTGTGTGTGTGTGCTTTCAACATGTCATCAGCTCTGTGTGCTATGTGAGTTTTGAGTTTGGCAACAGCATCTCTTTTTTTTTTTTAAATCATTTTAGCTTACGCTCTCTTGCTCTCTCTGTAACTCAATTTTCTTAATTGATATTCAGTTCTTGTTGAGGGTATAGCTCAGTGCTTCAGTAATTTAGTTTGAGAAATACTAATGCTTGACAGAGTACCAAATGAGAGCTCAAAATTCAGGTTACTCTCTGATCATGATAAGTATTTTCCTGATGTTACTACTAATAGTTTGCCGTAAGTCCTAAAAATTAAACTTTTAATTGCTCTAGATCCTTTGAGTGAAATTACACATTAGATACAAATCACACAGTAAGCAATTCCATTTTTTTTAAAAAAAACAAGCATTGATCTCAGTCTGTCAGGTCTATTTCCCTTCCTTTTCTGCACTCATTTATCTTCAGTGTGATATGTGCATACATTGTCTATCAGGGTACAAATAATCAGGGTACAGTAGCTTAGTTACACTTCATTGTGTGATCCTTTGAAAGTCAAGAGCACCCAGAATTCTATTTTGAGTACTTACCTCCCAGGGAAGCTTCTCTGTTTTATTCTCTGGAAGAAAAGGAGATAAAAAGTAATTTTACCAAGAGATAGTGTCAACTGAAGAGCTCAAGTCTATTTTCATTCCCTCTCCCTTCAACGACACGTCAGCCTGCCTGTTGAAAATATTATTTTTTGCAGGAATAAAATTCCTGTCTGTCTTATGAGCTATCTCTAAGTATTTTGACAAGTAACCCTCAGGCCTTGGAAACATTGCAAAGGGGACAGGGCTGGAGACATGGCTGGTATTGGGGCACTGTGCAGACCCACCTCCTGCAGAATATCCAAGTGCTCCTGGGAGCTGCTGAAGTTCTTCCCAATGTCAAAGAGGCAGAAGGTCTCCTCTTGGCAAAGGCTGACCCAGCCTTGATATTCCTCTGTGTCAGGAATGCGATCCAGGAAGATCCGATATGCTTCCCACACGACTTCTTGACATACTGTAACACACAGCAATCAGGGGTTCTAAATGGAAAAACCCTTTCCCCAAAGCACACAGCCTCAAAATACAGAAAGGGTTTTCATGCTTATGCTGATATACTAATTCACAAATGTCACGGTCAGTGTTGTCAACGGACACGGGCTAGAATCTGAGAGCATCGAGAGGGGATTGTCTGTCTACATTAGGTTGACCTATGGGTATATCTCTGGGGGGTGTATCTTGATTGCATAATTGAGATAGGAATATCTCCCCTCACCCCATGAAAGTTTAATCACATAAAGTGTTCCAGCACCTAATATGTGCTAAGGGAAGGACAATGGTAGACGAGGTATGGATGGATAGTCCTCATGTTTATGAGGAAGCCTGTAACGGGGTGGGAGGGATTCCTTGTCAAAGCACGAACATAAATTACAAAGAAATGATGCTTGGAGGCCTGTGGACAGGAAATGTGGGTGTGTGCTGCAGAAGGAGGACATAGGGCATGTTTGGCAGATTCCACCACTTTACCCTACTCCCTAATTCAGATTTTGTTTTTCTCTGAGAACCTAATGTCAATGTTCAGCTTTCACTTTTCCTTGCAGTTCTGGCAATTGAACCCAGCATTTACCAGTGCCAGAGAAGTTCTTAACTACTGAATCACATCCCCAGCACCCCTGCTCTTAAGAACAGAGAGTTTAATCTGTTTATTAAAAAAAACCTTGATGCTTCAATAATCACAGGCCATGGCAGAATCCCCTGGACCAAAAGAACGATCTGATTCTTGTTTTATTTTAAATATCAATATTTACAGCTCATTGAAAGCAACATCCTTATTAATTATTTAAGCTCATGTTGGAAAACTTTTGATGTCAACTGAAAACTGTGCCAGGGCCTACAGAGATGAATAGTTAGTGTTGAAGGCTAATAAGATATGTTAGAAGACTTCCAGTGTCAATAATATGTTTTGTCTGTCTGTCTATCTATCTATCTATCTATCTATCTATCTATCTATCTATCTATCTATCTATCTATGTTCTACAATCTGAGAAGGAATTGGATTTTTTTTTGGGGAGAGACAGACATCATCTAACTTTCTAATGAAAAATGGTGGTGGGAGGAACAAGATGAGGAGAAACTAGTTCGGAGTCGGTCTCCTTTATATTATGTCCCAACTCTCCACCCGAACCATGTTGCATTTTCCACACTTGGTTTTAAGAGGCAAAGGGGATTCTAGATCAATAAAAGCCCATGTCATCTGCCAGCAGCACCTGACCAGAACTGTCAGGGTACCTGATCTTTTCACAGTAACTCACAGAGGTGGCGGAGATAATAGTCCTACTGTTCAAAGGCCTAGTCTCCCACATTGAGTGAAAACACTGGAAAGCAGGGCAGTCGCCACACATAGAAAATGTGCTTTGCAACGTGACCTCCCTCCTGCCTGCAGAGGTGACAGTGCTTATCCTGACAGCCGCAGCACAAAGTACATGGCCTTCATCTTCTCTGCACTCAGAAAACACACTAGGAAGTTTGCAGATTTGTCCAAACCCTAATAGTAGTGGGCCCACTGGTCCTTGCTGTCCTTCTAGCCCCCACACATCATCTGTCTTTGGAAACGTGTTTTTTTGCCACCCTCCCTACTGTATCTGCTAGTTTAGTTCAACTGTCACCCAACTGTGAATAAAAGAAACTGTCTCTGCCTTTGAGGCTTAGTACTGGTGTCTTTCATGAACAATATCCATAAAGATCATTGGAGGTTATGATTAACTCTTCCCTCTTTGGGCATGTTGCTTTTTCAGTCCATTTGGACTATTTTTTTAAAATTTTTTATTTAACTTTTATTAATTACACTTTATTCATTTTGTATCCTTCCCAAAAGCCCCTCCCTCCTCCCCTCCTGATCCCACCCTCCCTCCCCTTTCTGCATGCATGCCCCTCCCCAAGTCCACTGATAGGGGAGGTCCTCCTCTCCTTCTTTCTGATCTTAGTCTATCAGTTCTCATCAGAAGTGGCTGCATTGTCATCTTCTGTGGTATTCAGAGTTTATCTTACTAGCTATTCCAAATTAAGCCCAAAGGGAAACTTTCGGGCACATGCATTTATTATTTGTACACGTGCATATAAGTCTCTGTGTGTGCATTGTGTGTGACATTAGACATGCGTGCATTACGTGTGTGTATTCACATGTGCCTCTGTGTATGCAGTGCGTTTGTGTGTGTGTGTGTTTGTGTGTGTCTGGTTCATTCTTCTGAGTGCTCTGTAGCTTGAGGACCTATCAATATATATCTCTGCAGGTGGTGTCCTGTCATACAGAAAAACTGAGGTTGGATTTTGTTTACGGAATCTGTGTCTTCCATTGCCTCCTCATGTTGGACTTTTCCCCATAGGCGTCAATACCTGCTTTACATAACGACACGGGGAAGAGAATAATTTATTCTTGAAGCACAAGGAAGTTGCTTAAAGATTTATCTGCCTGGGTCATTGCAGTTTATAAGGACCACCATATTAAATTTGAAACTTGTGATGTATAATCGTGATTATCGGCTTGACAGGATTTAGAATCACCATGGCAACGAACCTGTAGACATGTCTGTGAGGTTTTCTAAGCTTGACTGAGGCGGAAGACTTTCCCTAAATGTGGGCAGCGCCCTTGGCTCCAGTCCCGGTCTTTGTAAAGGAGACAGGGAGCAGAGCGTGCTTTTTTCTCTGCTTCTGGAATGGGGGAGCAATATGATCAGGCAGCTCTTGCTCCCGCTGCAGCAGCTTTCCTGCTGCAACAGACTGTATCTTCCAAGCGGAAATAAAGCCTTCCTCCCTTAAGTTGTCAAGTTTTTCATAACAGCAACAAGAAAGACAATTATTCGGAACTAGAACCGGTGAAATTTTTCTTTAGATTCTTTTTGAGAAGTGTGTGTGTGTGTGTGTGTGTGTGTGTGTGTGTGAGTGTTTGTGTGTGTGTACTTGTACACATGTGTGGAGGTCAGAGGACAACTTGCCTCAGTTGGATCCGTTCTCTCTTTCTACCTTGTGGGTTTGGGGATTCAAATCACATCCTCAGGGTTAGTGGTAAGTCCTTTTTGCCTGCTGAGCTATCTCAAAAGCCCAAAATGTGGCTTGATATTGGGACTGTGAATGAGCAAAGGGAAGGAGGAGAGCCTTGGGCTACAGTATTGTGGGGAATGGGAGGGCAGGCATCTTTGAGGGAGCTTCGCTGGAGACTTCTACAAACATACTCTTCACTGCTGGCATTTGTGCTTTGGGACAACTCCGTAATGATTCCACAGAAAGCTCCACACTTCACTCGTGGTGCTTTAAGCACGGGGGGGGGGGGGGAAGAAGCAGCTCACTGTTTCTATTTGATGTTATAATGGGGAGCTTTCTCCCCCTAGTCTGTTGGAGGATGTCAGAAGAACATTTTGCAAAGGCCGGGTGAGGAGAACGGTAAGTGGGCGTCTCCATCAAAGGAACACGGCTTTGTGGCTGGCTATTTCTTGTTTCTTTGTGGGGACACACACTGATGAATAGTAAAATTTCATATCACCCAGAGGCAGCCATAAAGATAATGGGCTGTCATTTGCTGTGGGGAGAAAAACAATGTTTTCTTTCGTTCAGGGAAACATGAATGAAACAGGCAATCCTAATCAACAGTAAAGAGCTCCGAATTAAAATTCAAGGCTCAGAGTTTGTTAAAAAAAAAAAATAGTGTATTCCACAAATACCTCTGGTGAATTATATATATCAGTGTTGCAAAGAATTAGATTTTACATGAAAAGATGTGTGTGTGTGTGTGTGTGTGTGTGTGTACGTGTGTGCGTATGTGCTTCTGTCCATTAACAAACTTTATAGAAACTTGCTGGCATTGTTATCTGATCAATGCGTAGGCACGCTTAGCATATATAGTGAACATATCACTTTATTTTCCTTGCATTGTTGATAACTAGGACATTTGCTTTCCATATTCTTCAGCAGGTATTTCACTGTAAAACTTGTGTGCAGAATGTGTGAGGACTTCAGAGTGTTCATATAGGGTACCTCATCTCTCGAATTAGGGTTTCCCTTTTAAGTGTGACACAGTAATTTCCATTTACCCATGGCTAAGACTTCTGTCAGAAAACAAATACTCTTTTACTTTCACATACAAGTAGACACATAAAAACAGAGGGCTTCATGGCAGCTCAGTGTCCAAGAGGGTTCCCCAATAATAGTAACAGGGACTGTCTCTGACTTGCTTGCTCTTTGATCACCTTCACCTGAGGGTGGAGCAGCCTTACCAGGCCACAGAGGAAGACAAAGAAGCCAGACCTGATGAGACCTGATAGACTAGGGTCAGATGGAAGGGGAGGAAGACCTCCCCTATCACTGGACTGGGGGAGGGGCATAGGAAAAGAAGAGGGAGGGTTAGGGAGGGGAAGGTGGAGGGGGCTACAGCTCGGATACAAGGTGAATAAACTGTAATGAATAAAAATAAAATAAAATAACTTAAAAAAGGAAAAAGAAAGATCAGAAGGCTTGATGTTTTTGAAGCCCTTTGTCAATCATGTCTCCCAAACCCAGCAAGAACTCTTAAGATGTATTGAGTCCCAGAGCCCCCTACTAGCCATCCAAGAGGATCTCTGGGTGTCAGGATCACAAATGCCTTCCCAAGGGCCACCCATCCCAGGCTGGAACTGAACCAGTTGCTCCTGTACGCCAGCTTTCAACAGAGCAGGAACATACACATTTTTGGACACTAACAACATCTGGTGTCCTTAAGGTGGGAAAATGCCCATCCACTCAGCTTTCACACGCAGTATGAACTCAGTCCAGAGAGACAAGGTACTGGTCATCCTTTGAGGCTATTTAGATGACAGGATACCAGCTGCGAATATAATTTTTTTTTCTTTTAAAGGGGAAGCCATGTGAATTCTTAATTCATATTAAGTAAATGAAATGATCAGGACAGTTTTCTGGCACCTGTGGTTGATTTAACGACTTGGTAATTTCTAGAAACGCAAGGCCTCCTGCAGTGCAGTTTTAAAACTGCACTGTGCTCCAGCCCAAAGTGGCAATAGCACCCTGCATACTCTGGAGGCCATTTGTAATTTGTGTCTCTGTACTTCAGCCTGCCCCAGATTTCCAAACTTTAAAAGCCTTCCTCCCCTGTCCCCCCCAAACAAACTTATTATTGAGGGAGAATGGATATGGGCTATAATGTCACTTTTGGAAGCAACAACAACAACAACAACAAAAGCCTAAGTCATAAATCAGTTTGCTCAGCTTCCTGATATTGCAACTATCCTAGGCTTTTTACTTTATAAGAATGACATTAAAATTTAAGAGTGGACTTTGGAAGAAACAAAACAAGTAAAACCTGTATATCAAAGATTTAAAAAAAATTTTTTTTCCTGGCCTCTAATGGTCCATTGTAGAATAACAAATCATTTTAAATCATGGGAGCTCAGAAACACCACTGTTTTGTAGGTCTGTGGCCCATTACTCTATCAGGCTAGTGGGCTGATAACTACAGTTCTCTTGGAGGAGTGAGAGACCTTGAATGTTTAGGGCTGAAGATAACCTGTGGGTGAGTAGGAGAGAGGAAAGAGAGAACAGAAGGCTAATGTCTTCCGTTGTTGTCCTTACCTCTCAGTCTATAATAAGCTTGAAGACTTGCTAAAATCTGTCTCAAGGATTCCTGTGGACAGATCTTAATAGCTGGGAAAAGTGCTGATCTTTTGGTTCGAAGCTTTGCCAAATCGAATATCCGTCTCATGGTTGACACTTTGTGCATTTTTGACGTACTTTCAATTGTTTCAATTCTTGGGGCTTTGTCTATGTTTTTAGTTTCAGAACTGTATATTTTAATGGAGGTATCTGGAAGAGAAAAATGGATTTCATGGTGAAAATATGCACTCAAGTGTTTGTGCACCATATGTGGCTAGATGACTGAAATAAACAAAAGCCCTCTTGTTTATGATACTTCTATTTTGGCGTGGTTGACAACTGCAAAATTCCAATGACTAGGCAGTTTCAGAAAAAAGAGAATAGTGTATACGTATTTTTAAAACCAATATCTCAAATCACCTTGCCTTTAGGAACTGCCAAATATCAAAACCACTTCCCACACATCTCTCTGAAAACCATCCCCTATGTAACAGTCAAACCTCTGAAGAGACACTGTAGTCAAAGCTGGGAGTTACAGAGCACTGTGGTACCCAGAGGTGTAGCCCCAGTGAGGAAGAGGAGTGCTCCTAAAAACCTCAGAGAAAAATCACACCAGCAGAACCTCCCTGCCTTTAATTCTCAGCCTTAGTATTTCTGGAGGTCAGTGTTCAGAAGGTGGCAATCTGACTGAGAGTGTGCTGAGGCATCTACACAGGAATCTTGGCATTTAATGAGTGGCAGAAGAAAGGGAATGTGGAAAGGGCAGAGAAGGGAGTGGCGTAGAGAACTCTACCAATTAAGGAGGATGTATGATATGCTGCTACTCCATTTTGGAAAGTGTTCACATTAAGATTTATACATGATTGGCCAGAAGAGCTATTTTTCTCTTTCTTTCTTTCTTTCTTTCTTTCTTTCTTTCTTTCTTTCTTTCTTTCTTTCTTTCTTTCTTACTTTCTTCCTTCCTTCCTTCCTTCCTTTCTTTTTTCTTCCTTGTTTTTTTTCCCCTCATTACAATTGCAGTGATATTTGTTTTATTTCATGTGTCCCTTAAATGGTGATAAAGAATCAAATTTTGATGCATTTATAGAATGGAAAGCAGGTCATTATTAAGATGAGGAAACTACGAAAACATAAATCATCAACCAAAATAACTCAGACACACCAAAAGAATACATATTTCTAGTCCTGAGGACCTCTCTCAATTTAAACAGTGGCCAAGAACACTGGGTACCTGGGCCAGTGGCAAGAAAAAGGGATTGGCTGGTAGAGCCAAATGCAAGTATTTTGGGGAAAGCAGAGAGTGTGTATTTGGCAAAATGTATTAAAATGTACAATTATTGGAGCACATTTTATTTTTTAAAGAATTGCATCTCGTGGCTCAGCATTTAAGAGCATATACTGTTTTTACAGAAGAACCAGGTTTGTTTCCTGGCACATATGTATGTAGTACCACTTATAGAAGAAACTGCGTATAACTCCAGTTCCACACTATCCAGTACCCTCCTCTGGCCTTTACTGGCAATAGGCGTACACAGTGCACATACATATGTGCAGGTAAAACACTCAAACACATAAAATAAAAAGTAAATCTTTAAAAAAAATTATGTCTCCACTCACTGAGGCCCTGATGTGGTTTGCAGAAGACATTTTCTAAAACAGATTACAGATGAGACAATCAAGCAGAAGGCCAAGAGGGTCAAGGGAAGAGTGATTTAAATGTCGCAGAGTTTAAGAGTCCTTCCTTCTTAAGTGGGCTGAAGAGAGTCCAGGCATGTCCATGGCACTCCGTGGCGACTCACAGAGCTTTTTGTGGGAGTGGTCAATGGCTTTTAGAAGAGACTTGTTGGGAAGGAAAGCCTGTAAAGACGGATTGGCTAATCTAGCCATGCACCAGAATCAGTACATAATCTCCGGGAAGCTCACACTACCCTGAAAATCCCTGAAAATCCCCCGGGTGATTCTACCTTCCACTGTTCCACTGAGAATAATTGTATCCAACTGGTTTACACAAACAAGAGGTTAACAGTACACTCAGAGGAAGCTGCTTGTGGTGAAAAATGGAGTTCTGGCTGGGACTCTGTGCTCTGAGCTCACCTTATAAACTTTCCCACAGGCAGGGTACCATCAGTTGCTCTGATGTTGCTAGCAGCAACTGGAACAACCTTCTTCTCCGTATTTGTGCTGAAGATTACCTTTCCTCTTAAGGAAGGCTAAGACAGGCTGTGTTTCTGGATCAAGGCTAGTTGTCAAGGGATGTACTATTGGCTGTTGCTGAGGGAGGGTGAGGGAAAGGGCCTGGAACTACCTGGACTGGCTCAAGATTTCTGTGGTGATGGAGTCAGCCCGAGTCAAATTGGTGGCATGGCAAAATAAAAAATGAGCAGTCAGTTTTGGGGCAAAACTAAGTATTCTCCATCTTCCTCTGCTTTTTTGTTTTTGTTTCTTTCTTTCTTTCTTTCTTTTTTTTTTTTTTTTTTCTTAAAACCAGCCATAGGGCCCTACCTGCATTAATATTGTAGCTAATGTTTAGGTCACAGTCCTTCATCTGTGTTTCTTCCACAGTCAGCGCTGTGCAAGATAGCTGATCCTAGAGAATTTGAAATCAAGCCTAAGAATATTTTCTGGGCAGGTCACACTGACGAACCCTGTTTGTTTCTTTCATAAGAATTTTGAATTGCTTAAAATAAACAACAAAAGAAAGGATAAAAGGAATTGAAATGTGAATGTTATATATTTCAGTGAAGAAAAAGCCAAACCACCCAACCAACCAACTAACCAAGCAACTAAGCAACCAACCAACCAACCAACCAACCAACCAACCAACCAATCAACCAACCAACCCCGAAAACACAAAACAATACGTTAGAGCTAATAAAGTTAGCTCTAGTGAGGGGGCTAGGTCAGGTAGAAAGATGCTCTTGATTGTCTCCTAAGTGATAACATAAATACTGAGCTTGTAAAGATGATTTGGGTTAATTTCAAGACTTTTGATATTTTTAGTGAGGTAAGTATCTAACTATATAAGTAGTGTATATAAGTAAAAATACATAAAAGTTTAATGAGAATCAGTTGCTATCCGAAGACTAAAAAAGGAAGCATATTTAATAAAAGACTGGAAAAAAATACTTTGATCCAGGATTTCAAACCCAGCTGGTCTGGACTCCTAAGTAAGTGAGGATGTCCTTGGAATTTTGATCTTCCTGCTTCAACTTCCTGAGTGGAATTTCAGGTGTGGTCCCTGCCACACATAGTGTTCACAAAGGCTGTGAATCAAACCTAGGGCCTTATTTATGCTACATCCCAAGCCTCAGGGGATTGGAAGTTATTATTATTGTAGCTTCAATATATATATATATATATATATATTTTTTTTGTTTATGTTTATAATTTTATGTTTATAAGTGTTTAGCCTGTCTGTATGTTTGTGCACTCTGTATGTGCCTGGTGCCTACAAAAGCTGGAAGAGGGTACCAGATTACCTCGAACGGCAGTTAAGGACAGTTGTAAGCCACCATGCGGATCCTGGTAGCCGAACCTGGATCTTCTGCAAGAACAGCAAACATTTTTAACTATCGAGTCTCTAGTCTCATGGATATTATTTGAGGCAGAGAATATTTCTCTGTGGACCATAGAATCTGAGACCAGCCTGTACAGTGATGATGTAACTGCCATCTGCAGAAATCTTCAAATGATGTTCAGTTACAGAGAGAAACGAAGGACATAGAATAACATGATCCCAAGGAAAAACAAGGAAGCAAGCAGCCCCACCGAGACTCTCGCCTAAGAGCAATGAATATAAAACCCCAAATTCAATATATTATGCATTTAGGAATAGTACACAGTTGCATTTTTTTTGAAAAAATTACAGAATAAGGATCAGCAAGTCAACCCTTCTGCGCACTTGTGTCCTTTTTTTCAGTGTCTAACATTGGAAGCCCAGTACACAGCTATGTTTTTAAGCATAATATAATCATTAAAAAGAAAAATAAAAAAAATCTCTTTTGAATGAAAACAAAAAGAAAAGAAAGGAGATGTTTTATGTATGAAATTTATTTTAGTAGAAGCAGAATTCACAAGCAATTTTCACGGAACTGATTAAAAATGCGTGTATCCATGAGGAAGAGTATTAGGGTTGCCTCTGGGTTAACAACTGGCACCGAGCCTGTCTGGGGGAAAGTTGGCTCTTCTTATAGATCTATGACACAAAGAAAACCACACCCGCTTTCCCGGCTTCACTCGTCCTCCACTCTCCATGCAGAGGCAGCAGCGTCATGCCCTGTAGCTCGGGCGATCCTAATGGATGATCACCCTGCCTCAGTCTCCTGAGCATTGAAATCACAGGTACAAGCCGCCATTCCAGGCCTACGCTCATTTACCCTCTTCCTCAGATTCATGGACCTTCTGGCTCATGTTTCCTCTCAGTCGTTGACTCTGATTCCGTTTTACGGAGAGTGAGCAGAAAGTGAAGAAAACACTGGGATCTTCCATGCCTGCCTCTGCTTTAGTTCATTCTTCTATGGGCACGATCTGCTGCTAATCTACTTTCTTGATACTGTGTTATCTCTGACTGCTCACTTGTTTTTGATGTATACTTATGTCTTGCACTGTTTCTATGTATACTCTTCAAAACATCTGCTTTCACAATAAAGCAGGTCTTACTTAAGTGAGGATTCTAATCCCACAAGTACCTGTTTCCCTCTCCATGCTTTCTCTTATTTCTGTGTTGTGATGTGCTTATGAGTGTACTGTACTATTTGTACTCTGTTAAGGCGACACCTCATAGAAGGTGCTGCTATTTCTATCATATAGCAGTTCTGTGGGTAGTGGTGATAAACTTTGCAGCCAGCCCTGAATTTACCTGATAAAACAGGGTCAGATGAAAGGGGAGGAGGTCCTCCCTTATCAGTGGACTTGGAAAGGGGCAGGGAGGAGATGAGGGTGGGATTGGGGAGGGAACGAGGGAGCAGGATACAGCTGGGATACAGAGTTAACAAAATGTAATTAATAAGAAAAAAAAAAGACTCCAACGAATGCTTGAAACTTTTCATAGAATTGTACCCTAAATGCACTTGCATTTTTTTACATTTAATCTATAAATTTAACATTCTTTTAATCATAGCAATT